CCCGGCACCCACGCGCTCTGCGCTGCCTCAAGGCTCTGCTGTGTCGAGGCGGGAACCCCAACGTGCGGTGAGGCGGGTCTGGGCTCTGAGCGGGGCCTTCCACGTAGGGAAGGGGGCTCCCCAGTAGGAAGGCGGGGTCTCTACAGCCGGAAGGCGTGGCCTCGGAGTCCCGGAGAGTGCATCCCACGTTCCAAGGGTGGGGATTCGGCTCCCCAGGCAGGAGCTTGTGGAACTCGGGGAGGGATCCTGAGAGCCCAAGGGCGAGGGCGAGGGTCCCAGAATGAGGGTGAGGGATGGGGTTGCGCTCGGGCCAAAATGGGGATCGAAGTTTCGGGTCCAGGGTTGGAATCTCTAGGGTCAGAGAGCAGAGATTTGAGTCCCAGGCCGAGGGCGTAGGATCTAGGTTCCGAGGGTGTCTCGGGCTGGAGGGTGGAGATGGGGGACAGAGTCCGAGGACACCCCTGGGCTCCTGCCCCAGATCGGCCGAGGCGCTGACACCGCTGCACGTGGCCGCCGCCTGGGGCTGTAGCCGCAGCCTGGAGCTGCTGCTGAGCCAGGGAGCCGACCCCCGGCTGCTCGACCAGGTGAGGGGCCCTGGCGGAGCGGAGGGGCCGACCGGGAGAGCGGGAGGAAGGGGGGAAAGAGGGCTTGGGTGCCCCCTGTTGATCGCGCCGCTGCAGGATGGACTCCGGCCACTGGACCTGGCGGAACAGCAGGGGCACCAGGACTGTGTGCGCGTCCTGAGGGAGCTCCCAAAGCTGACTAGGACCCCTCCCCGGACCCGGTTAGAGACCCAGGAGCCGGAGCCTAAGCCCAGCGGTGAGTGAGGCCTGTGCGGAGACAGCGGCTTGGCCTAGGGACCAGCTTATCGTGTCTCACTGATTTCCACCGTCTCCCGCTGGTCCTGACTGTCTCACGTCCAGGGTCTCTGGTCAGCTCTCACTGCCTTCACTCATTCTCTTTTCCCTTTGACTCCAACCACCTGTTGCTGATCCAACTCCCATCTCTGCCCCCCCCGCCCCTCCCCCCCGCCCCATCCTCTGCTGCAGGCTCAGCCCTCAAGGGAAAGGGGCTGGATGCCAGCCCCTCTGGACCTCCCAGTGTGATGCTGGACCCCACAGGCCTGGGCAGCAGGGACAGCAGGGACAGGGACCTGGAGGCTAGCCCTGGACCCTCCAGCCTCCTCGCCTGCCCTGAAGTTGCTGACAAGGATGGCGGCTTGGAGTCCTCCCCTGGGTGCTGGGACTGCAGCTCAGATGCCTCCTTCGTCACAGCAGTCGAGGCTTCTGGATCCAAGGACCCAGCCCCGCATACATACCCCCGGGCTGGGCCATTGCCCAGGCAGCAACTCCTGCCTCATATCCGACCATCCCAGAGGAGGCTAAAGTCTCCGGGCACCCCACAGCCGGAACATGGAGCCATCATGACAGACAAGGAGGCCGAATTAAAAGCCCTCCTACAGGCCCTGACTCTGACCTCCCCCTCCCACACGTCCCTCCCAGAGAGGAGCCCAGCCCACAGCCCCCTTCCGCAACCACTGCCTGGACCCCTCGACTTCCACTTCCTCACAGATGACCAATCGTCCCTGGACAGTGAGGGGGGCGCCCTCTGGCTGACGGAGGACGAGGTGCATTCCACAGGGTGCAGGGACCCAGTCCCCTCTGGCGGGTGTCTGCCAGTCATGTCTGACCTGGAACTGCTGCAGAGGCTCCGGGCTCTGGGTGAGAGCCCAGGCCCCGTCACGCCCTTCACCCGGCCACATTACCTCCGACGACTCCAAGAAGCCCAGGCTGCTCCCGGTTAGTCCCTTCCGGGCATCCGGAGACTCCCGGCTCTCCGTGCCACTTCTCTCTTCATCTCTGGGAATCACCCCTTCCTCTGTCTCTCTTGACTCAGTTTCCCCTCCCAGGCCCAGACTTTTCAGGGCACAGCCCAGAGCTGACTGAGGCCCTGAGGACAGGCCGAATCCCAGACGCCCAGGCAGATGAGGATGCACTTGCCCAGCAATTTGAGCAGCCGGATCCCAGCAGAAGGTGGCGGGAGGGGGTAGTGAAGTCCAGTTTCACGTATCTGCTGCTGGACCCCAGGTACTCAGAAGTGGGAGCTGGGCATTCTGGGGTTGGTTCCTACATACTGCACGACCTCCGAGGGGAACTGACCCCTCTCTCTGGTCCTAAGCTTCATCTAGAAAAGGCAGTTGGAACTAATTCAAGCCGCTGAGTGTCTTTGGGCGCTGCCTTATAAACTGTGGGTCACTGGATGTGGGTTGTATATACCCTGTGACCTTAGAGAGTTTCTCTAGGGCTACTCTTGTCACTTTTTCCTCTTTGAGCCAAGCCTTTTCATCCAGGGAGACTCGGAACCTGCCAGCACGAGCCTCCTCACTAACTCCAGCTGAATGCCTTCGGACTTTCGTCCACGCCATCTTCTATGTGGGCAAGGGGACCCGGGCCCGGCCCAATGTTCACCTCTGGGAGGCCCTTGGCTACCGTGGGAGGTCAGGAAAGCAGGTATGAGGATAAGTACCAGGGTCAGGGCAGGGACAGCCAGGCCGTGGGCAGGTAGAGGAAGGAGGGAATTGGGAGGCAGACCCCTGACCTTGCCCCGGCCCCTAGGCCTGCCCCAAAGTGCGCCAGATCTTGGACATTTGGGCTAGTGGTCGTGGAGTCGTGTCCCTGCATTGCTTTCAGCATGTGGTCGCTGTGGAGGCTTACACTCGAGAGGCGTGTCTTGTGGAGGCTCTAGGTGGGTGCCTGGCTTGTGGGGGGAAGGGTCACAGGAAGGGCACTTGCTCTACCAATTCCCTCACCCCTGCCCTCTCAGGGCTAATTTGTTCAATGAGCAATTATTGAGCACCAGTGATGTACCTGCATATGCACATATTTTGCTCCATGGGTTTATACCTGCCTAAGGGGAATACACAGTGGGTTCACTGTCACATTTCTCTACCTGGAATTCAATGAGGCTACCCCTGTGACCTCACTCCCAATCTCTCCAGGGATCCAGACACTGACCAACCAGAAACAAGGACACTGCTATGGAGTGGTGGCGAGCTGGTCACCCAGCCGCCGCCGCCGCTTGGGAGTGCATCTGTTGCATCGCGCCCTCCTTGTCTTCCTGGCTGAGGGCGAGCGAGAGTTGCGACCCCAAGACATCCAGGCCTGTGGCTGAGCACTGGGAAATTGCCCATCCGGGCTGGGTGGAGGTCAGGGTGTTTGAATGTTTCAGCTGCCCTGTGCTGAAAGCAGCCTCCACCTCCGGTTCTAGAAGTCCGGGGGGGCGGCGGGCGGCGGAATGAGAAGCAGGGAAGACCTCCCCCTCAAGCTAAGGGAGGACTCTCTTACAGATGGAACTGCTGGGGAGGTAGTGAACTCCCCATGATGGGAGGAGAACAAGTGGACCAGAAGGTTCTTTGAAACATTTGGTACTTTGGAACGTGCGGGGGCTTTGGCAGTTTGGGCCTGTCTGTGTAGACAAGTCCACTTTGATCTTCCAGGCACAGGGGGCCCACACTGTGGGCTGGGAGCTTCCTCAGCTACATGAAGGGAAGCCACCCAGTTCAAGAGCTGGGTCCTGCTGCTGCCAGAGGTGGTACCTCAGACCAGTCACTTGTCTGTCTGAGCCTCAGTGTCCTCAGTAGGACAGTGAGGTCCTGCCTCAGGGGATTGTGGGGATCGGATGGGACTCAGAGCCAGAGGTGACCCAGGTGGAAAGTCTCCTGGGTAAGGGCAGTGCCCTGAGTTCTCAAGGTGCCACCTGTGTCTGGTGATAGGCCAGGGCTAGGGAGCTGGTGGGTTGTGGGTATAAGACACCATCCCTGGGGGTCACTGTGCCACGCAAGCTTCCTGGCATTGCTTCTCTGAGCCTGTTTCTGCCACCATAAAATGGGATCAGTAACCCCAAGTTCTGGTGGTGCTCTGTGATTTCAGATTAGTCACATTTGCAAAGAGTTTCAGTAAGATGCCAGGCTGTGGCGCTGGTGAGGTGCTGGCGGGATCATTTAAGTTTTCCAGAAGTTGCTTCTTCAGAGCGTCCAGTGCGTTTAGGGACTTGGGGAAATCGGCTGCCTCATTGGTTTCACTGTCTCCTCCTCATTGCAGCTTCGGCTAACCAAGTTCTGTAGTTCGACTCTAACCTGGACGGAGGTTCACCCACTTAGGTTCCTCCACTTTAGAGCCCATGATGCGACCCCCACCCCACCCCCGCTCCCCTCCCAGCCTCCAGAGGGGGCCTGGGCTCCCCATTCTAATGGAACTGAAGAAACCGCTCTCTGAGCCGAGCAGCTTCCCAAACACCAAGTCTCCTGATAAAGTGACAGCAAGTAAAACGGTGTCATCTACCCAGGAATGCGCAAACAGGTCGCTAGGAAAGAATCCAGAGACCTCCAACGTCCCCAAAGAGATGGGCTTGGTCTAACGGAGTTTCCCAGCCCCTGCTCCACTGATGCTTGAGCCCAGTTCCTTCAGGGGTGCGGGCTGTCCTGTGCATTGCAAGGTGCCAGGAGGCATCCCTGGACTCCACCCACCAGGGGTCACTATCGCCCTCCACCTCCCAGATGTGGTCCAACTGTCTCCAGAATTTCCCAAGGGACAGCTGTGCCCCTGGTGAGAGTCACTGGACTAAAGTGGTGCATAAACCAGTGGGGAAAGGACCCACCCGGCAGTAACCAAGGGGGCAGTTGTCTCCTGCCGCCATCCTCACAAACCGCCAGCGTGCCTAGATATACAAACATTAGGATGAAACACAGAGGAACAGGAGCATGGCCACGGGGCAGGGAGACCCTTCTGCTGGACAGAAAATGATTTGGTGGCTTCAGAATAAATACAGTGGGGCCTTGACTTACAAGTTTAATTCGTTCCGTGATGGAGCTCGTAACTCAAATTACTCGTATGTCAAATCAAAAGTGAACGAGTGAGACACGTGATGCTGGGCTGATGTGGCGTTCACTGTGATGTTCACTGCGCCAACTAGCGGTGGGGTATCTGAAGCTGGCTCGTAACCCGAATTTTAGCTTGCAACTCAAAGCAAAAAATCGACCGAGAGACGGCTCGTACCTCGAAAAACTCGTTAGTCGGGACACTCGTAAGTCAAGGTCCCACTGTATCTTCATGACAAAAGCCACCCTAAACCAAGTTGAAAGATAAAATGGGACAGCAAGAGGCACTGACTTGCTGTGTGACTTGGGGTGAAGGGGATTCAGTGAGCTCAGCACGGGGCCTTGTATACAGCTGGCACTCCATTATGGCTCCTCTAATCCCATGCAACATCCAGTGACCCTCACCTCAGCCTCCATATGGAGCTCTTCCTCCCCTATAGCGACAAGGAGTTCATCCCCCCCGACTTTCTTCCTTCTGCTCTGGGAATACTGCCCGAGCACCCCAGTGTTCTGAGGAGGAAGGGGAAATTGGAGAAGCCATCCTGGAAGGGCAGGCATCTGCATCAACCCAATTTGCAGATGGGGAAACTGAGGCTCGGGGGAATCCCCCTGCCCTATGGTCAGCCAGCACAGGTCCGGAGGCTTGGATTGTCACTTCTTTTTATTGAGTTACAGGTTGAGATGTGCAGATTCTGTGGTGCCAGTCCCCCCATCCCTGCCCCCTTAGACGACAAAAGCTACCAACGCCAGGAAATGGGAGTGGAGGGTCTTGGGTAATGGGGCGCCCCCCCCCCCAGGGTCTCTGGATTAAGCATGGCTAACATGTAAGACAATGGGGTGGGTGTCGCCTCAACCATGACTATGGCCTTGGCTTTGATGGGCAGGGGGCTTCTGTACAAGGTCGTCCTCTGAGAGAGTCCCTGCTACGGGCAGGATGGGCCCCAGGTTGGTTGGGCCCCACAGGATGCAAGCGGAGCCTGAGTGTCCACCCGGCTCCCTGGAATGCCACGCCCAGCCAGCCAGCCGAGGGGCGTCTCCCCAGGCTGACCCCGTCCACCAGAGCTAACGGCCTGCCCAGATATCCTGGCTGCAGACCCAGCAGCGCAGGCTCCTGCTCTTCCTCAAGGCCCTGCTGGCCCAGCAGCTACTTCTTCTCAGGAGGCACAGTCAGGGCACTAGGCGGGGGCTCGGGCTCCCAGAGCAGAAATTCATGGAGCAACGTGTTGACCGTCTCTGGACACTCCAGCATCACCATGTGGCTGCCTTCATCGATGAGCTTCAGGAAGGCCAGAAGCAGGATCTGTAGAGGACAAAGGCTCAGGGCACACACAGCTGGCGGCTCTGTGACTCCCTGCTAACCACCTACGGCTTGCAGCATGGGGAAGGCCCTCCTGAAGTCTACCTCATTGCTGCACTTTCATCCAAGGGGGCTGGGGGATAGCCTGTCACCCAGCTGGAGCCCAACTCAGGATTTCTCAGCCCCAGCACGACTGACATTTGGGGCCTGATTTTTCTTTGCTGGAAGGCCATCCTGTTTATTGCAGGGTGTTAAGTAGCATTCCTGGCCTCCTCCCCACCTCTCCACCCCTAAGTGCAACAACCAAAAAAGTCTGCAGGCATTTCCAAGTTTCCCTTGGGGCTGGGGGAAGGGAGCAGAATCCTCGCTGGTTAAGAACTGCTGGTCCAGCCCTAGCCGGTTTGGCTCAGTGGATAGAGCATCGGCCTGTGGCCTGAAAGGTCCCGGGTTCGATTCTGGCCAAGGGCACATGCCCGGGTTGTGGGCTTGATCCCCAGTAGGGAGCGTGCAGGAGGCAGCCGATCAATGATTCTCTCTCATCATTGATGTTTCTATCTCTCTCTCCCTCTCCCTTCCTCTCTGAAATCAATAAAAAGAAAATATATTTTAAAAAAAAAGAAAAAGAAAGAACTGCTGGTCCAGAGCTATTCCAAGTGCTAAGGATCCTAAGACCCCTTTTTGCCAACCTCTGATCTAAAGACCTCCTGGCCTGCTCTCCCCGAATCTTGTAGCCCACCCCACTCACTGGTCAGTTATACAAATCCCAGCTGTAAAGAGCGCCTTTTTATGTGCAGGGGGATAGTGCATAATCCTAATAGCTGGGCAGAGTAGCCCTACTTCCTGGATTTCTCTCTCTAAGCTCCCATGTCCCTGGGGCTGAAAAAGAATGGCTGAGTCTCCCTGGGTTGCACAAGGGGGTTTGGGGGTACAGTGGCCAACGTGCTGAGCCCCTACCTCAGCCATGCGCTGGTCTTCTTCCACCGGAACAAACTTGTCATGCATGCCATGGACGAGCAGGACCGGCACAGTGAGCTCCGCATGATAGACCTCGTCGCCCTCGGGCCAGTACTGGCCACTCATCATGGCTCGCAGCACGAAGGACGACACGTTGAATGCATTGCCCTCCTTCAGTAGCTGCTTCTCTTTGGCCCCTTGGCGGGCGAAGCCGGCCCTGGTGGTAGGGACGCACTGCTGGAGTCCTTGTGCCATTGGCCCACCAAGGGTGTCCCCCCACGCCAGCCCCAGCCATTACAGTTTCCCCTCCCACACAACTCAGGGAGGTGCCAGGGTCTGCCAGGACTGGGGGTCACTCACTTGAGGAAGCTCCAAGCCAGGCAGGGTGACAGGCAGTGCAGGACACACGTGGGCATGTTGAAGATGGAGCAGAAGCTGGGCTCCAGTGCCGTGGGGCCCCCGCCGTTGATCATGATGACCTTATGCACCAGGTCTGGGTACTCATGCGCCAGGAACGTACAGAAAGAGACACTGCCCAGTGGGTAGGTGGGGGTTGAAGGGTGGTGGTCAGCAGGGAGCAGACAGTGAGGGGGTTAATGTATACCCTTACCCAGAGGCAGGTCCTTGAAGGCCAAGACTTTCCCCCCTAGGGCCCATGGACATTGAGTGGGGATGAGGGGTGGGTTGGGCATTTGAATGTTCTGAAATTGTGAGGTGTGTGTGTGTTGAGGGTAGAATTTTTTTTTTTCTTTTAAGAATTCGAACTTAGCCGAAACCGGTTTGGCTCAGTAGATAGAGCGTCGGCCTGCGGACTGAAAGGTTCCAGGTTCGATTCCAGTCAAGGGCATGTACCTGGGTTGCGGGCACATCCCCAGTAGGAGGTGTGCAGGAGGCAGCTGATCGTGTTTCTCTCTCGTCGATGTTTCTAACTCTCTATCTCTCTCCCTTCCTCTCTGTAAAAAATCAATAAAATATATTTTTTTAAAAAAAGAATTCGAACTTAGAACTTTCCATAGATCCCCAAGGTATCTTGACCTCCAAAGGGGTAAGAGTTACTTATTGCCAATTGTTGGGAAGCAACCTGATTAAACAAACATCCCTTCCCTTATGAATGGTGGAAGGGTCTGCCTGAGGAGCCCCAGGTCAGCTCCTCATTCCTTCTACGGAGGACCACTTTGTTTTTGTAAACTAAATTCACAATTTTGTAAATTTATAAAATATTTTGTAAAATTTTATTGGAACACAGCCGCCCCGCTTGTGTACAATTATGGCTGCTTTCCTGCTATGACATTAGAGTTGTGAAGTTACAGCAGAGACGGATGGATGATTCACAAACCTAAAATATTTACTATCTGGCCCTTTAAGAAAAAGTTTGCCCGTCTCTACTATAAAAAGGGATGATGGGACGGGCAGAAGTTGGGTGGACCTGACTGTGCCAGTGACTCACTGAACGCCCTTGGGCAGGATGCTTAACCCCTGAGCTTCCATCTCCACACCTGTGACAAAGTAACTATGCTGACCTCATAGCATTGTTATGGGATCACAGGAGCTAGCACGCGGACGAGTGATCATTTAATTGGAGAAATCATTAGCATGAGCATCCACTTTGGGGGTTGTGATCATATAAACAAATAAGAGCTGTTACCTCCCAGCCTGGCTTCCTTTCTTTCAGAAGTTTATGTAACACTTCTTTTTCTTGTCTAATTGCATAGGCTACAACCACTAAAACAATTATTCTCAACCTGGCTGGATGATGGGATTCTGCCTTTCCTTCTGGATAAAGGAGGGAGTGGTACCCTTTGACAGTGACCAGGCACCCAGGCCCAGAGCCTTCCATAGAGTGAACTCTCATCTAAATGCTAGATGATATTATCTATCACTCCTTCAAGGGAGAGTGAATTACAGCAAACTGCCTTGTAAAGAGAATTTATGAGCCCTTCCTTGGGGCCCTTGGGATCTCCAGGGCAAGCAATTTGGAACTTAGTTGAAGACATTGGTTCTCAGCCAGGGATAATTCTGCCCACCAGGGGAACTTTGGCAGCATCTGAAGACATTTTTTGTCACGATCATCACTAGACCACGTGCTAAGAGGTCAGAGATGCGGCTAACCATCCTACAGGGCACATGAAAGGCCCTCACAGAAAAGAATTACTGGACCAAAAATGTCCACAGTGAGAAACACTGCTTTGAAACAATGTTAAACAATAGCGCTGGTGGTAGGGATCCCTGCCTTGTTGCAGATGTTAATGGGATTTTTCAATGAGGAAAATCAGTGTTTTGTGATGGGGGTGTCCAGTCTCTGTCAGCCCCGGAGAAACACTTTGAAACAATGTTAAACAATAGCGCTGGTGGTAGGGATCCCTGCCTTGTTGCAGATGTTAATGGGATTTTTCAATGAGGAGGAACAGTGTTTTGTGATGGGGGTGTCCAGTCTCTGTCAGCCCCCAC